GCTCAGTTTCCCCCTCTCCAATGCAGTGCCCGCCCTGTTAGTGTTGCCACACACACCCCTGGTGGAGGCAGGGGTCCCCTGCTGCTAGGCACCACCACCCTGCCACTGATCAGTTGGCTGGGGGGGGGGACTTACCCTGAAAAAGAGGGAGATCCATCTGATGTGCAGTAATGTGTCTACATCACTGCTCATGTGGCCTGGGTGACATCATCACATCTGGGTTGTTGGAGTGACACTCTGGTATTTGAGCAAAAACTCTATAGTAGAAGTCAAATTTACCATAGAGTTTTTGCCCAATTATGAGAGAGTTGTCCTGACATCTCAGAAGTGATGACATCACTTCTGGGTCACATGGGCAGTGACATAGACACATCGCTGCACATCAGATAGGCCTCCCTGCTGCTCCCAGTAAGTCCCCCCATCCCCACCAGTTGCCAGGAGGGACCTGGCAACCCTACACCCTGTGCTTCATGGCATTTTTTTTACAAGCTTTGGGGTTGTAGGGGGCTACCATGAGAAGGGACTGGTAGGGCAGCTCCACATCCACAAGAACTTTCTCATAGTTTATAAAATTCAGCCCCTTTTAATGTTGCTGTGGCTTAGCTCAGACCTCACATGAAAGTATGGTTTAACTAAAGTAATTATGGTTAATTTGACTGTTTTAATGTGGCCTAACTCTGGTTAATTAGGGTATGTTAAGCCAGTTTAGTTTATTATCCACAGCCATTTTTAATTATTGTTTTGCACGGCATACAAACACAGAGCTCTGGTTTAATCCTGACTTATTCCCTGATACCACCCTAGCTGTAATACAATTCAGGCCTCTCCAGGGGAGACAAGGGAAACATAGGTTTGCCATTCCTCAGTTGTGGGTGGGAGATTGCCTTGTTTTTTGGGCTCCTGCCCAAATTCCCCAGCTCAAAATAGGGACCTCACTGGAAATAAATGCTACATGCCTACATCAGCTGGAAGTGATGTTGGAACGTCGGTGATGTCGGGGGTGCCACTGTTTTTTTGGGCAAAACTCTATGGTTTGAGGCTGATTTTTACCATAGAATTTTGCCCAACAACCAGAGCGTCCCTCCCCGATGTCACCGACATGCCTACATCGCTTCTGGGTGACATAGGCACATTGCACAATATCACTTCCCACTCCCGGAATGTCCCCCCATTCCCTCACTGGTGTTTCAGACAGACCTGGCAACCCTAGGTAAAAAGCAAAGGTGACAAAACTAGAATTTGTTCAGAAGTAAGAATTTGGATGTTCCTCCATGTACCAAGTCATGGTAAAAGACACTAATAATTATTAAAATAAAACATGGTTTTGTGCTATCTCTAAACTGAGATTGTGTTTGATGGATGCTAGGCATGAGTCCTCCATTATGCAGTGGCCTAAGCATGATACTTAAATAAACATAATGTGCAGGGTGTAATAGAATTTAAATGACAAATTTGAATTTTAAAAAATCACTTTGTTTCTCTTGCTGCTAGGCATAACTTCAGCATAGACATTTGCCTTTCTTCCTAAAAGGCCAGTATAATAGACAGGCTTGTGAAGTTTCCTGCTATAGTGGGAGATCTCCCACCCTGACCCCCCACTGCTTCTGCTGCTGCCTTGGTGGAAGAGCAAGAGCAAAATGGAGGGAGGAGAATTGGTGGTGTTTCAGCATCACAGCATCACTTCTGGCATGAAGCCAGAGGTAACATCACTGCATTGACATGATGCTCTAGAATTCACCCCAAACGCTATCTTTTTCAGTAGAATTTCGAGTGAATCCTAGAACGTCGCTCTGTCATGGTGATGTCACTTCCAGCTTTGTACCAGAAGTGACGTCACAGCGTTGGTGTAATGCCATCATCACAACTCCACCTCCCCACCTCCCAAGGGTTACCAGCACTGGTCCTATCCAAGCATCCCCCCCCAGTCATCACAATTCTCTCATGTTTCAGTCTGCTTCTTCCTTAATTTTTATTATTTACCTCCTTTATTGCACTTTTGTTTATTTTGACTGCACAGGAGAGAGGCTAGAACTTCTGACTTCTCTCTTCATCCCTTATGTATAATAATCTAGGTAATTCAAGTCCCTGACATTGAGAATCATGCCTGATTTATGATACCAGGTCTCCCTTTGCCTTTCCCCCCCTGTTTTTGTTTTTCTTTCTTTCCATTGCATCTGAAGAAGTGAGCTCTGATTCACAAAAGCTCACACTGAAATAAATGATAGAACAAAGTTTGAGTCCAGTGGCACCCTTAAGACCAACAAAGTTATAGGTAATGGAGATTTAACTCAGAGTATACCTATTCAAAAAGGAACTTGACAAGGATGTCCGCTCTCGCCATTATGATTTATCTTTGCAATAGAGACATTAAATGACTTGGTAAGAGAAAATTCGAACATAAGAGGTCTTAAAACTAAAGGAGAGGAATTTAAACTTCAAGCTTTTGCTGATGATCTAGTATTCCTTTTGGAAGATCCAATAGTATCTACACCATATCTGCTTAATGTAATACAAGAATATGGCTCAGTAGCATGACTTAAAATAAATTTCAAAAAAAACAAGATCTTGACAAAAAACTGCTCTCAGGATTTGATAAACAAGATCCAGTCTCAATCTAATATAGAGGTAATCAACAAAGTTAAATATCTAGGCATCACCTTTTCAAGTAAAAATAGTAACCTATTTGAAAATAATTACAAGACGTTATTAGAAGAGATCAAGAAAGATCTACAGAAATGGCATGATTTACACCTATCATTTATGGGTAGAATTGCCACTATTAAAATGAACATTCTTCCACGTTTCTTATTTTTGGCACAGAAATTTTTTTAAAAATTTTTTCTTTGAATTGGATCAATATGTAAGAACATTTATATGGCACTCCAAAAAAGCACATATTAAATTGAAACTTCTTCAAGATAAAAAAGAAAGAGGTGGCCTCGGTGTACCAAACTGGTCCCTTTATTACCAAGCCTCAGCTATGGGTTGGATTAGGGATTGGTTACTGTTAGAAGATAAAAGATTGCTATATCTAGAGGGCCATAACCTACATAGGGGCTGGCATGCCTACATATGGCATGATAAAGATAAAATCCATTCAAATTTCCATAATCATATAATTAGAGGAACCCTAATAAAGATCTGGAGGAGAATTAAAGAAAGATTTTACCTAAAAATACCTATGTGGGTTTCACCTTTAGAGGCCTTCATAAGGCCTACATTGATGTCGGACAATAAGAGAGTTACATATCAACACTATTAAACAAGAATAAAGAGCTAAATTCATTGGAGACACTACAAACATTGAATATTAATCTCACTGGTTGGGAAAAACTGCAATTACAGTCAAGGTTTACTAAAGATAAAGTAATTAATTTTTATAATGAAAAGACAGACCTAGACAAAATATGGCTATCAACCTCTGATAAACTGATACAAAAATTGTATAACTTCTTATTGTTTGATGTTATGCAAGATGAAACAGTTAAA